CCTGCCTAGGGGTTGGTGGATGGGGAACAGTTGTACTGGGAAGATTCAGAGGCTGTAAAGTGGCTGTGAAGCAATTCCACGAGTTGATTCTCTCTCCTCATAATAGACGTTTGTTTGAAAGAGAAATGAACATTGCCTCAAGATGTCGCCATCCTTGTTTATTGCAGTTCATTGGAGCAACAAATGATGAAGGAAGCCAACTGTTTGTTACAGAGCTCATGGAATCAAGTTTACGAGCATTGTTAGAGCAGCGACCTCTCTCATGCACAGATATCTCTGTTATCTCCCTGGATATAGCCCAAGCACTCACTTACTTGCACAGAAATGAACCTCCCATTATTCATCGCGACATCAGTAGTGCTAATGTGTTGCTATGGCGACATGGTGACCAATGGAGAGGCAAAGTGTCTGACCATGGAACTGCGAATTTCATGCCTCACACCAAGACAATCGGCCCTGGAGCTACGATTTATAGTTCACCTGAAGCACTCACCCCTAATCAAACAGTGAAGGTAAAACATGTTTACTATCAACACTTCTTGTTATATAAGTAGAGAGATGTCTCTTACAATATTGCACTTAATTTATCCCCTGTGCAGAGAATGTGGCCCCTGATGTAGATTAGTCTGTGCACAGCCACTCACTCCCTTAGCTTGCGTGGCAGGTGTTCAAAAGGGAGGGAGGAATTCGAAACTAAGCGTGAAGTGCGAGGGGAGAGCGCCCTTTGAATGCTTGCGACGCAGGTTACCATGCTGAACGAAACAATTGGAGAAGTTGACCATTGTGTACTACAATTAATAATCCAGTTCCTTCCGTAAAATGATTTCCGCATCAAAACAATTTCATTTTCCTAGGGCGAGAACGTTTTGCTGTTTACCTTGGGCTTAAAAACCCAAAGCATTGCTTGATAAGAGTAGGACACGGAGTTCCCTTTTTCACAGCTTGATGTGATCTCTCCTTAGTTGATATGGGTTGGGTTGGGTGTGATGATGAATGAAATGACAGTTGTAGCTTGACGCTCCTTTACAAGCTGGTGTCCAATCTCGCTCTCAAAAGAAGTGTAAAATACCATGCCGTGGTGTAATGATTGTAATATCTGCACTATAGTCTATAATAGTAACAACAAGTTTCTGTTCAGTTTACGATATTTGTTTACTTATTTCAGTATCCTCAATTAGTACGGTGCTAGAATGATTTATTTAATTTAATTTACTCATATAACATACATTTTATAATACTATTTAACAATTAGATTATGAGC